TTTCCCATCAGTGAGGCTCTGTGCCCTGCTGTGTACTAGGCACTGGAATTACAAATCAGCACCTCTCCCCTAGCATCCCTCACCCCGTCTGACAGTAACACAGTGGGGCGAGTGCTTTACTAGTGGGCGAGCAGAGGAGGGAAGCTCGTTTTCTGATCTGGGGTGGCTGGGAAAATGTTCTCAGGGGAGGTGCTTTTAAGCCGAAGAGCAAGTAGAATTTTCTTTAGCTATTACAGGCAGGAGGAGGGGGTGTTTGAAGCCGAGGGGTGTCTGTCTTGAGGGTAGAGTGCAGGATGTCCAGACTGTGAGATGGGCACGCCGGTGCACGCCGGGCAGAGACGGTGAGAATGCTTGGAGGGGCCGTGCTCACCGCAGGCCTCATGGAACTGGAGCCGAGTCTCCTGCAGCCGCCGGAAGGGGCTGACCCTGTTCCGGGTATTCTCGGAGCACGGCAGCTTGAAGGAAGAACTGAAAGGCTCGAAGGAACCTGACCCGGGCCTGCGTCGGGGCCTCTGGCCATCTCTTCCCCTCTGCCCTCCTGGAGCTGGCCTGCATGCCCCCCTCTCCCCTGGTTGCCAGGTTTCTTATGATCCCAAGGATGTTTAACCTGTGTTGGCTTGGCCAGAAAGTTCACTTGGGTTTCCCGTAGCCTCCCATGGAGGAATCTGCACGGACGTTTGGGTTAGCTTGGTGGACAGTCCTGGACGCGGGGGTCTGCGTGCGGGAACCACCGGGAACCAGGGGCATCCAGCCGCGAGCCCCCACCCCGCCCCCTGCTCTGAACCGGGACCCTCCTCACTGCTCTGGGCTCCTCACTGGCTCCCGGTGGGCTCCGCCTTGAAGGAAGGTTCCCCACACAGACAGGGCTGGAAACCGACGGCTCTGTTCCCGTGTTGGATGGAGCCGTCCTGATGGGCTTGGCTGACGGCTGTCCTTTGAGTGGGGAGAATCCTCTGGCTCTGGTCCCCTCGCCGAGCAGCCGGTGGGCGCACGGGGACCCCCGTGAGTCAGGGGCTCTCAGCCAGGCTCTGCCCTGGGCGGGGAGAACCAGCTGGGGGGGGAGGGGTCTGCAGGCTGCCCGGGGTGGCCGAGGTGTGGGAGGCGGTCTGCAGCTGCAGGGGGTGTGGGCCTGGCAGATGGGGTGATGGGCATGTTTGCAAGGGCATCTCGGTCCCGCTCAGCATCTCACCAGGTCTTCCTGGAGAATGCCATCCCAGAGAGGCTCGAGTGTGCAGAATTTCTTTTTTTCCCACAAGACTTTGAAATATTGTCTCCTCTACCTGCTTCTTGGGGATCATGCATATTCGTGTATTAAACACTGTGGAAATTTGTAAGCTGTAAATTGAGTTCAAAGAAATGGAAATGCTTTTTCAAAAAAAAGAAAAGAGACGCACATGCAGGGGAATCCCCTGGTGGCCAGTGGTTAAAGTCCGTGCTTTCACTGCCGAGTCCCTGGCCAGGGAGCTAAGCTCCCACAAGCCACACAGAATGACCAAGAAACAAAACCCACATATACACCCACACAACGGGGATTAAACTTGGGAAGTGGATTGCCCCGGAAGTGAAAGCATATACGTGTTGTTTTTTTTTTTTAAGATAAATTCCTTAATATTAGATGTTCACTAAGTCGTGGGGTGAGAACCCCCACTTTTTTTGTGAGAAGTTTCCCTACTTTTTAGAAAAGGGTGTCATTTCTGTTAGTGTCCCTGTATCCTTATTTGTTCACCAAGTATTTATTAAGTACGCACAGTGCCAGGCAAAACACTTGGTTATTTAGCGTATGAAAATTCTTATCTCTTCATTGGGATAGTTTTTCTGGAATTTTTCATACTTATCTTTAGCATTCTGTGTTTCTATTACAGAGAAACAGATGGTAACAGTTATTGAGCATTTTTAACCCCTGGTAACATGTCTGAAAAGATCAAGTTCTAGGCTGCCTCCCAGATCCAGAGCTTTTTCTCCTCGATATTGCTGCCCTCCTCGACGTGGAAACGCACCAGGTCCTGGTGGGCTGCGAGGGGAGTGACCAGAGCCGCCTCTTCCTGTATGGCGTGAGGTTCAGAGGGAGGCAGTCCTGCTCCAGAATTAGCACCAAGCTCAGTGCCGAAGGGATAGTAACCGAAAGGCTCTGTTCTGTGGTGTTTAAAGAGAAACATCACCCAACACGTGTTTAAAGAGAGCTATCACCCAACACGTGTTTAAAGAGAAATATCACCCAACACGTGTTTAAAGAGAAACATCACCCAACACGTTCTTTTTTAAGTTGGAAGGTTTACAGGAGCCGAACCTTGTCTCTTGGCTCATAACATATTCCTCCTCCACCAAATTATAGAGCAGCTTATTCCACATCTCAATTTCTAAATAAATTGGTCCTCAGTATTCTTAGATTCTTGACAGACATCTTGTCTAAAAATTAATGTTTTGCATTCTGCCACTTTGAGCATGTTAAACAAATTACTCAGTGTCATTGTCACTGAATTAATTAGAATGATTCATGTAATGACTTTAGCACACCGATGTGAACGTGCTTTTTTTTTTTTTAAATTAAGGCTCGTTTACTTCTTATTAATACTTACAGCTCTACTTTATATCATTTGTGACTTTAACATTAGCAGCCTCAGGGAGCTGTCATGAGGATTAATGCCAGTAAAGCAGTCAGAGCTGCCTGGCTTTTAGTAAAGGCTCAAATGCTGTCTTTATCCTTACTAACCGGCTTTGCGACAGTGTGAGATAATCAGGGTGGATGCCGTTATCCTGGTTTTGCCAGCAAGGATGCTGATGCTCAGAAATTTGGTCCTCTGAAATTACTGGCCATCAGGATGAGAGCCAAGTCCTGTGTTCCTGACTGTCCTTATAAGTAACATTTTGGGGTTTAGTATTTCAGCATGTGAATTTGTGGAGGATGAAAGCATTCAGGCCACAGCAGTTAAGTCACTCATGTGAAAATGCTTAGTGCAATGCTGAGCATATAGTAGGAACTCCGTTAAAAGGGTTCTTTTCGGGACCTTGCTGGTGGTCTGGTGGCTGAGTCTGCCTCGCAATGCAGGGGATGTGGGTTTGATCCCTGGTCAGAGGGAGGGGCTCCCGCGAGGCACTGAGCAGCTCAGCCTGCGTGCCCTGGCGAAGACGGTGCGTTCTGCAGCCAAATCCCAATGCAGCCAGACAAATAGATAAATACTAAATAGAATAAACAGTTCTTTTCTTTCCATGCGCTGGTACCTGTTAGGACTCTCATCTCTCTTCTCTCCCTGCCCCCCTGTCGATGCCCCAGCTGAGCACTTCATCCCCAGACTGCTCAGGAGCCTCCATCTTCAGCAGGGGTGACTGTCTTCACTCAAGCTGCCACAGTCAAGATTCTCCGACGGGGTGGCTTAGACGTCAGCAGTTCCCTGTCTCACGGTTCTCAGGGCTAATGGCCTGAGATCACGGTGCTCATGGGGCTGTCCTCTGAGGCCTCTCCTTGGTGGACAGATGGCCGGCTTCTCCCTGTGTCCTTACTGGTCCAACTTCTTGGCCTGTCTGTGTCCTGACCCCCACTTCTTGTAAGGACACTACTCGTATAAGTCCAGGGCCTGCCCTGCTGACCTCATTGCTTCTAATTACCTTTTAAAAGAGCCTGTCTCCAAATGCAGCCACATTCTGAAGTACCAGGAATTGCAGCCTCAGCGTATGAATTTTAGGGGAACCCGGCTCAGCCTGTGACAGTGGTGAAGCAAGGAAGAGCATCTTGGTCTCAGAGCTCCAGCCCAGAATGTTCCCAACACAGAGTCACAACCCCTGGGATTCACAACCTGTTACATTCCCTTTAGTGCACTCCTGCAGGCTCAGTGCGTAAAGAATCTGCCTGCAATGCAGGAGACACAGGAGACCTGGGTTCAGTCCCTGGGTTGGGAAGATCCCCTGCAGGAGGGCATGGCAACCCACCCCAGCATTCTGGCCTGGAGAATCCTCATGGAGAGAGGAGCCTGGTGGGCTGTACAGTCCGTGGGGTCACAAAGAGTCTGACACGACTGCCGCGACCGAGCACGCACACACGTTGGGAGCCTCAGGCGGGAGCAGGGCCTGGTTCCCTCCGGCGGGAATCGGGGGTGGGGCCTGCTCTGTGTTGGGTGCTGTGCTGAGTTGCTGGCGCTTAGCAGACATTGGGCCCCCATCTCAGCGTCACCGAGGACAGGATCACACAGCTGCCTCCGTCTGACGGAGGAAGAAAGGGACGCTCACCCAGTTTCTGCGTGGTTACTCAGTCAACCCCATTTCTCTACAGCATTGAGATAATGAAGTAAGACGGACGGGAGTCACGTGGGTGAAGCCGGGGATGTAGCCTGCCAGGCTCCCCTGTCCACGGGACTCTCGAGAATACTGGAGTGCGTTGCCATGTCCTTCACCAGGGGGTCTTCCCGACCCAGGGATGGAACCCAGGCCTCCTGTGGCTCCTGCGTTTGCACTACTTGCCCCAACCGGGAAGCCCTGGTCTGTGTAAAGAGCCTCACAAGGGGCTTAGCTGTTGCCCCGAGGAAGGCGAGAGCAGCAAGGGCAGGCATCTTCGTGCGTTTTCCGACTTCGGCCTGGACGTCCCTGACTGGCCGGTTGGGTAGAGGCTCATTCGTGTTTGCTGTGTCTCAGAGTGAGTTCAGAGGGCGTGCATTCTCAGCGGCCTGTGATGAAGAGGAAGTACTTGGTTTCCGCAGGTTTCTAGAGGTTTACTAGTTGGTTGGTTCTAACCGTAAGCCCCCTGGTGGAGAGCGAGTGAGGGAGGGAGGCGGGGTGGGGTGAGAACGCTCTCCGCAGTGACACGGAGCTCGTGTGTCCTTCTGGATCTGCGGGTGGGGTCACTTTCTGGGGCCTCTGGCTCTGACCCGATGGAAATGGCCGCTGACATAAAGGTGTTAGGATGGCCTCTGATGTGTCTTGGGCTTGAATTTCGTTACTTCTCTCTGGGACTGATTCAGTGATGCGTGTTGTCATCAGAATTCCTAGTGATTGCCAACTTTTCTTTCCAGGCTCAGGCTGCATGAAGAAAAGGTGATTAAAGACAGGCGACATCATCTTAAAACCTACCCAAACTGTTTTGTCGCAAAAGAACTGATTGACTGGCTGATTGAACACAAGGAGGCGTCTGACAGAGAGACGGCCATTAAACTCATGCAGAAGCTGGCGGACCGGGGCATCATCCACCACGGTGAGCGAGGTGGCCACAGAGTAGTGAGAAGGGCTATACTTCCTATTTCATTTTATTTAAAAAGGAATTTTAAAAAGGGAAAAGGTTTTTTTGGCCACACGCTGTAGTGGGTGGGATCTTGGTTCCCCAACCGGGAGTTGAACCCGTACCTGTGACTTGGAGTGCAGCGTCTTACCCACGGGACCCTCCGGGGAAGCCCTGAATCTTCTGTTTCAGATGTGAACCCACCCGTTTAAGAAACAGAGCATTTACTTGGTCTCTTGTGTACCTCTGCCCAGTTATATTCCCTTCCTTCTTCCAGGAGGCATCTGGGTCTATTTCTGTGGACTTCTTTATGCCTTTTCATTTCTGTGCGTGCATCTCTCAGTGTGACATGCTGTTTTAGGTCACTATGGAGACGCACGTTTCTGCTTCGCATCCTGTTTGTGGGATCCGCTCACGCTGGCAGTGTGTCTCGTTTGCTCCTTTTCACGGCAGTGCGTGCCACGTACCGTTTGGCCATCATACCGTCGTCCACTCCACTGGCGGACGTTCGGGCTGTGTCCGGGTTCTGCCATTACTGTGTTCCAGTGGCCGTTCCCGACTGGGTCTCCCTGAAACGTCTAACCCTGGCCACGAGCTTTCACATGCTGCTGCGCTCTCGGGCTGAAATGCTGACATCTCCCCTTTCGCTCATTTTTCTCTCCTTCTTCAGGTCTCCACGTGCATTCAGACTCTTCAAGGAGGCATTCTTCCACACGGCGGGGGTTCTAGGTGCTCCTTTCATGTCTCCTCAGCTCTTTCGTAGCCAAATCACATCATGTTTTAATTACGTATCGACCTGTCTCTGTCTCGCTAGATTTCACATTCTTTAAGGCTGATGCCTACCCTGTTATCATGCTCAAGAAGAGTTTGTGGAAAGAAGAATGAGTTGAGTTTTGTGACTCTCTTAAATAGTGATGATGATGATAGCTCATAAAACTGAGCATGTATTAGATTGCAAAGTAGTATGCTTGAGAAATTAGGTAATAAAACAAATCTTGATCAGCATCTTCATCTGAATAATTAATAAGAGGTTTTTTTTTCTCATTTGCATCTCTGTGTATCTTGTCTTTCAGTGTGTGATGAGCATAAGGAATTCAAGGACGTCAAACTCTTCTACCGCTTTAGAAAGGATGACGGCACCTTCCCCCTGGACAATGAAGTGAAGGCCTTCGTGAGGGGACAGAGGCTGTATGAGAAGTAGGTTGCCCATGGAGCCCTCCGCTCCAACCTTGTGGGGCTGTTTCCTCTTTTACATTTTGACCTCAGCCCGGCTCTTCCATGATGGATGGTTGCATAACTGTTCCTTTTAGTATGAGAAAACTATCACTCACTTGCTTTTCTCTTTGCCAGAAATGAAGTCGATTTCATAAGATTCTTCATAAGGAATTATTTCAATAGTGTTTTCTGTATTTAGGTCGGTTTAGCAAAATCCGAAAGTGGAAACGGAAGCCTGGCCCTTGGCGCTTGCCATCCAGCAGTGCAGGTGCCTGCTCTTTTAAGGGCTAGGGTGTGACTTGGAAGCGTAGACCTGTAAACGGCTAGAGCAGCATTGTCAGGTACGGGGAGTCCAGGCTCAGGCCAGGAGATGAGCAGTGAGAGGCCCTGAGAAGGCAGAGTGGGTGAAGAGGAACGACCCCGCAGCTCTCTGGAAGAGGCCCCGAGTGTTCGGTTGGTGGGCCTGGACCCTCCCAGCGCTTCGTCTCTGAGCTGAACTGCTCTTTCTGCGGCTCTGTTCCCATCCTACCTTCCTTGTTTTTTTCCAGGGCAGCCCTTAGCGAAAGCAGCGGCACTGTTTCCTTAACTCTGACTGCCTTTCTCAGCACGCATTCATGACATGAAAGCGCCTCCTCTGTGGGTGGGTGCGTGGGGCAGAGGCACCTGGTTACCACGGTGGTCAGGAGCCAGGCGGCTTGAGTTCTCACCGTGGGGCCTTGCCCTTCTGAGCCTCAGCGTCCTTCTTTCCGGCGTGGAGGTGGCGATGGCGCTGTTCTCTGCTGCCGTGGGAACGCCAGGGACCACTCGTGTCAAGCGCTTCAGGACTTGGCTCGGTCCGTCTCGTGTGCCGTCAGATCCCGCGGGGGACAGCCGTCTCGGACACTGACCTGACGTCGCGCCCACCCTGGGTCCTGTCTCTCCCACCCCTGTGGCCGTCCGTTCCCTCTCCGTGGCGCTGGCTGTGCAGACGCTTCCTGCCCCGTCAATGCTGGCTCTCCTGGCCCCCCGGTCGCCTGCTCTCTGTCTCCAAGTATATAAGCTTTCCTCTCCCTGACCCGTGTGACCGAACGGGAGGCCTCCTCAGCACCTCCGTTTGTGTCCTGGAGTGTGTGTGTGTGTGCCGTTGCTGCTTCCTTAGTTCCTTCTGGAAAATTCTAGTGGGTGTTTAGCATTTAGGCTACCCTGCTGGTCCGTTTAAACTGTTAAGATTTTATGTTGTCAAAAGCATGCATGGTGGGTGTTCCCTTTCGGCCCAGTGGTTAGGATGCTGGGCCACCCTGCTGTGGCCAGATTCAGCCCCTCGCCCATGGACTGAGATCCTGGGGAAAAAAAGAAACATATCATTTCCATGGAAGGGCGCCAGGGATTCTGTAGCCCTCTTTTCTAGCTATAGATTATCTCCTGGGACCTGGGTAGTCACCTTATGGGAGCCGGGGTTAGCAACAATTGAGACATCTGACAGAGAACTTTTGTCACTAGTGGGACGGGTGTGCTAAGAGAAGCTGAAGGAAGCTGCTCATGGCGTCCAGAAAACACTCACCCAGCCCCACCCCCGCTTCTCCATTCAGCCTAAACTGTGTGTCTCTGGCCATCCACGCCTCTCTGCTGCTCTGGGCACCTACTGTCCACGAATTGTTCCGCACGCACTTAGTGAGCCCTCCCCACCTGGCAGCCCCTGGAGATGTGCCTGGGTCAGAGGCGGACGAAGCTTCTGCCCCGCGGAGCTCGCAGGCTAGTTGAAGAGGCAGACGTTGAAGGGACAGCGTGTGAAGAGGAGTGTGGTTTAGTACACGGTTCACAGTGATAGAGAGAGAGGCAGCCTTCCCGAGGCGGGTGAGGTGTGTTGGGGCCTGACGTCCCTAAGAGGCGGCGTTTGAATGAAGTGTGGATGCGCTGGGACAGCTTCCCAGGTGGACGGCGCAGCCGGGGGGAGGCTTGGGTGGGGATGCGCTCAGCGTATTTCAGGACAGCGAGGAGGCCAGAGTGTCCAGGGAGGGGAGGGGGGTGAGCGGTGGGCCGGGGACCGGGCCAGGCCGCCACGGTACTGATGGGAGCCCGTTGGAGGGGGGGCGGCCCCGGTGGTGGCCCGATGTGCTTTTGCGCGGGAGGCCCCCTGGTCCAGCAGACTCTGGCACTCTGTGTTCAGTGTGACCTTTCCTGAGCGTCCGTCCATGTCCCCTTAGGATGGGCTTGGGTGGTGTGCTTGTGCGTTTACCCTGTGAGGGCGGTGTGAGGCGTTCACCTTGGTGCATCTGCAGCATTAGACCAAGAGGTTTAGGCAGAGGAGCTGCTTTATCCTTCTTTCTATTGCCTGCAGGTTCACCTGTGTCTCGCCAGGCATAGACGGTAAATAACTTGCTAGAAAGGGTAACTAGACGTTTGATATCTGGATGAACTGACCAGTTGCTGGACTTTGTGTGTGTGCCGTTGGCTTTTTATCCACTAGTGTTGAGTGTCTCATTTCCAAGTAAATTTCCTTCCTCAAACTGCTTGTAAAGTTAGCACTAGGAGAAGTCATTTCATCAGCCCTTAACCTGGCATGACCTAACTTACCTCACAAATCTCGGCTCCTACTGTTTTCAATTGCCAGAATGCGTATGGAGCAAACTCTCAGCCCTTTGGAATTGATAGTTCAGTTTACCTATTTGATCAGTTTAGTTTAGCTGTTTTTAATGCATTTTCTTTGTTTCTCTGGCCATCTTTTTCATGAATCTCAGCATGGATTATTATTTTCTAAGTTTTGGATACTTAAAAAGATAACATTAAGAAATGTTGGTTGTTATTATGATTCTCATTTTCAAGAATTTTTATTATTTGAAAATTGACTCTGGGACTTCTCTGGTGGGCCAGTGGTTAAGGCTGTGTGCTTCCACGGCAGCGGTTGTGGTCAGGGGACTGACATCCCACATGCATGGCACAACCAACAGCAACCAAAAAATGCCCTTTTCCCTCTGAATTATTTCACCAGATCCTGTGTTTAGGATGTTTGTGATACTTGGGAAAGAAGGTGTTGCAAAATATATGTTCCTTTAGTTGTTTCCCTTTTAAGATAATAATAGATAATAGTTGTTGATTGATAGATGTATATCAAATGTCTTGACTAATCCATTTTATTTAATCATCATAACAACCCCCTACTTAAATGCTTTCATTGTTCCCATTTTATAGATGAGAAAAATGTCACAGGGAGAGGATAAATATCTTATCCAAGGTCACATCATTAATGAAAAACAAAACCAGTTGGGCATGATCGCAAGGGTCCAGAGTCCAAACTTATTGTTACTGCGCTATTAGTGAATCTTTTCTGTTTCCTTCAGTGGAGATTAAATGAATGGAGTCAGTATTTACTTCAAAAATATAACATGGAGTTTGTGAGTATCTGAGTATAGCATTTTCTATAAAAAGTTACTGAAAATATTCCAGGATTTTAAAGTGGACATAGGAAAGGAGGAGTAAAATGATTCTTGTTCATGGTAAATCTCTGTGATGTTCTGTAAATATAATAAAAACAATGTCTTTTATTTGCACATTAAGCTTCTCAAAGCACTGCGTTAGGTTATTTTATCTGAACCTCCTGCAGAGAGTGATCATAGAATGATAAATCATAACAGTAACCGTAGTGATGAGAGCGTTGTTGTTGTTCAGTCGCTCAGTCGTGTCCGGCTCCGCAGCCCCATGGACTGCAGCACGCCAGGCCTCCCTGTCCTTCACCCTCTCCAGGGGTTTGCTAACTTACATCCTTTGTGTCGATGATGGTATCCAGTCATCTCGGCCTCTGTGTTCCCCTTCTCCTCCTGCCCCCAATCCCTCCCAGCATCAGGGTCTTTTCCAATGAGTCAGCTCTTCCCATCAGGTGGCCAAAGTTCTGGAACTTCAGCTTCAGCATCAGTCCTTCCAATGAGTATTCAGGACTGATCTCCTTTAGGATGGACTGGCTGGATCTCCTTGCAGTCCAAGGGACTCTCGAGTCTTCTCCAACACCACAGTTCAGAAGCACCAATTCTTCGGCGCTCAGCTTTCTTTCTATGCGTGTGTGTGCTGTGTGCTCAGCCGTGTCCGACTCTGTGCGACCCCGTGGGCTGTAGCCCGCCAGGCCCCTCTGTCCATGGGATTCTCCAGGCAAGAACGCTGGTGTGGGCCGCCGTTCCCCTCCAGGGCTTTACATCATAGTGAACAGTAATGTAGAAGGGTGGGGCCTCACCTCACTGTCCCAGGAGGAGGGCGTCTGGACCCGGAGCGGTGGTGGCGGCTCCGTGTTGCTCCCGCTGCTCCGGGGGCAGGAGACGTCAGCCCGGATAGCAGGTACGGGCAGCCTCCCTGCCTGCCCCAGCCCCGAGGGCCTGGCCCCTTGTCAGGATTTCCTTTGCGCTCTCCTCTAGCCTGTTTGTTCTGTGTTATTAATAGGCCTTTGTGTAACTTGGGGGTTTCTGGCTGGTTTTGCTGAAATGTGCTGCTTGGGGGCCCTCTGCCTTTCTAAGCCCTGGTGCTGTCCACCTCATGGATTTGTGGGTCCACGTGGACGGGTTGGTTTCAGTGTGGGCACAGGGCTACCCGAGGTAGCCGCCATCCCTGCTGCCAGCTCCGGGGGGTCTGAGACGGAGAGCTGTGCCCTGGGTCTGGGCCAGACGAGCCATCGGGAGGACTTCGTCTCAGCCCCGCAGGCCCCTGCGCTTCAGCAGGCTTCCCCCCGCCTTCCCGCGCAGCCGTGGGCTGAGGATGCAGAGATGGGGCGCAGGTCTCCCTGTGGGGCCTTCCGGTTCCGCACTCACCTCTGCACAGACACACGGACACATGGACACAAAGATTCACAGATACACACTCACAGACACACGGACACACGGACTCACAGACTCACTCATAGACTCAGTTACACAGACACACAGACACACGGACTCACGGACTGACACACACACTCATAGACTCAGTCACACAGACACACAGACACACGGACTCATGGACTCACACACTCATAGACTCAGTCA